GCACGAAAGACGCATTACTACGCGGTCGCCGACGCTTCAACGGGCGCATCACGCAGCACAACAACAAACCACAGCTGCCTCTACCTGGCCCAGCAGCCACTGCCTTCGCGCTCAGTGACATGTGGCACACACTCAAGGTGGGATATGGCCAGTGGTACCTCACGCGGTCAACATGAACCGCCCATGATGAACAGTGCTTCGCTGCAGAAAATGAATACGCACACAAACACACATACATGTAAAAAGATCGATGTCTGAAGGCAAAAGAGTGCCACATCATCATCGCCGGCCACGTCTGGACAGGTCGTTTCGTGGTATGGCGCTATCCTGTAATGCTGGCTGCCGACATGGAAGTCTGGACAGCGACACCCGGTAACCGTCATTACCAAAACCTTTTTCGTTTTCGCTATAACTTTGAAAACTTACAATGTAGCAAGTCCGTCGTCCCTCAGGAAACCACTTCCAGACAATGCCAAATACATTCCCGACAACTGCGTCATCTGCAGCCGAGAGTGCGGAGGCACCACCAGAAAGAAAAGCGTGCCGGTGACTACACCGTCGCCACTACCAGTACTATAAGCACACTCACACATCACACCGCAGTGTCCCGTTGCAACCGTGCGGTTGTGCTGCCAGGCGTCGTCAAGTTAGGAGACGGAGACTACGACGGGGATTTTATCCATATATCAGCTTGGGTCGAATTACTGGAGTTCATGGAAAATACTCCCTCAGAGACGGACTTGCCAGCCCTCCGGAATCTTGCCAGCAACACATGCCTTCCGACTTTCCGTGAAAAATGCCACTACCCGTGTTCGGCCGCACTCAGGCAAGCCCGCGAGAAGATCCTCACATCCCTGCCGAAAAGGACGCCGTCTCCCCTCACTTCCATAGGCAGCTACAGGCACTTCTGCTCGACAATAGAAACAAAACCAATCCGAGGTCTAGCATGCGCAATGGCAGAACGCGCGCAAGACGCAGCATACAAGTCCTTGGACCCTGCCGGGGACGGCTCACTCCTTTTAGCAGCAAAGCTCGCTCAAGTGGCCCACATGGCGTACGATGTACCGAAGAAATACGACGCAGCACAAGTGCTAGAATTGGGCAGACAACTTCTTTCCGATGCCGGCATTGGCTGCCAAGCCCCTCGCTGCACCTCCGGTATTGTGGAAATGCTACAGCTGGAGCGCGTAAACCCAATCCCTTTGCTGCCATCCCCTGCAGACTTTCCTGGCAGACAAGCTATAGCTGGCATGGTTTGGTACCCCTACCAGGAAGTGAAACTGTCAGCAAGAGCGGGAGCTGTACTTAGGCGATGCCTACTCCAACAGAAGCCGGTCGACGACTTGGATATTGTCGCAAAGCGTGTCCTCCTCGAAGCAATAGGAGGGATCATCGCACATCGGCTGGCACACACAGCCGGCCCCATGTTGGAGCACGTGAAAGCAGGAAACGCGGAGCCCTTGATTGCTGCCGCATCATGCGAACGACGGCTGAAAGCAATCACCACCTGGTCGTACCTCCTGGACTGCCAGCTGAGGTACTGAAAACGAAGTCTGCCCGACAAGCGCACTGACAGCTGCACGTCCCCCAGCTCACTGTACATGCTGTTTCCACAGGGCAAATCCATGAACCACACCGTCGACCCAGACGAGTTCGGCAACACCACTACCTGCCGACGCCGAACTAGTCAAGGAAAAATAAGGACTCGGCATTGTCAGTGTATATTTGCGTCAAGAACAGACACCAATTCAGAGACTGACAACTACGGAAACCCTGCTCGAAAGTCTCCCAGCGACCCTCCGTGCTGTAGCGCATTGCTCAAAACAAAACAAGAACAGCCTGACTCCACCCTCGACCCTCCCGATGGCTTCAACGTGCCACCTGGTCTCTGTGCTCATGGCGACATCTGGCGAAAAGCTGACTGAGCTGATAGTATCGGAAGAAAGCCACACAGTCCGACAGATCAAAGTGCACCTCGAGCAGCAGCTCGGATTCCCGCGCTACCAACAACGATTGCTCGTTCGCACGCCAAACCATGAACTCCCAGAAGCGTAGTCCTGCACGCCGGCATCAAACAGATATCCGTCGTACTAATCCCCTACATCACGGTGTCTGAAGAGCAAGAAACCGAGATGCTGAACGCAATCTACCACAGCTCGGCGAACGCCGTCGAGACCATCCTCCGACGACCCCAGCATCCAGACTCGTCCGCAGGGGAACTATGTCCATGTTGCGGCACGGACCAGCTAACAGCGCTGGAACTAGCAGCGAGGCGCAACAAGCCAGACATCGTGAAAATACTGCTGGAAGCCAGAGCAGACGTTACACAACGCGGCAACTGTTTGTCCTTGCACGAAGCAGCCGCGAACAACGGCACCGACGTGGCAAAGCTCCTGCTACAGGCCGAAGCAGATGCGAACCTGAAGTGCCCAACAACAAGCAGCACGCCGCTCCTCGAAGCCACCGGCAGGTACCACTGGCAAGTCATGCAGACGCTCCTGGACGCAAGAGCCCAGCCAAACACGGCCGGCCCAGTCAACCGCACGCCCCTGCACTACGCCTGCACCCAGGCCGACGTACGGCCGGTACTGACGCTCATGCAGCACAACGCGAGCTTGGACGCCATCGATGACTGCGGCTACACACCTCTGACAGTAGCATTCTGGTCGGGACACGTGCAGATGCTCCAGGACTTAAGAAGCACGTTCGAGACGTCTCTGCTAGACTACAACGAATCAAACGAATCCGAAGACGCTTCCAACTCCGACCACGACGACGAGGACGAAACAGAGCCCGAGAACCTAGACGCCAAGATCGACAAGATACACGCAAGGGATCCACCACGTAACTGACGAACCTCAGGCCCAGAACACGAGGAAAGCACCCCGGCACAAGAGCAAGCTCCGAGCTTGGCTCACAGGAAAAATTAAAGAAGGATCCAGCACTTCCGCCTGTGAGTACAGCATTGACGCATGTCATCAACCCACAGTCGAGATGGGACACAGCTGAACGAGGGAAGAAGAAAAGGCGCGACGGCCCTTCACCGCATGAAGCCAGCTGCAATGCCTGCTCGAAAGTCTCCCAACGACACGGCATGCAAGCTTCGCCCGCTCGCACATCACCAGAAGCAACTCATGGCTCCAGAGACTCCGAGTAGGTAGAATCGGGTCCATTGACCTGAGAGCCAGCCGGGGCGCCTAGCATACCTCGACCGATCCGTCATGCTGCGGGTTCGGAGCTGTGGCGGCCAGACAATCTGCGCCATCGACCCCGCCACCCGCACGAAGAAACGCGACCTCATCCTCGACGACCTAGCACGCACCGTGAGCATCCATCTACGCACCCCAGCAGACCGCATCAGCATTCACTACGCCGATGGGCGAGGGCCCCTGAGCCCAACCACGACATGGGCCGACTGCACGGACCTCACCGTACTAGGAGATATGGAACTACTCGCCGTCGCTCGACATTTCCAAGCAGGCGGAGACGAGAAGCTAGCCGTCGCCATAGAACTGGAAAGGCACGCCGACGTCTGCAGTCTGCTGGACAGCCTCGTGGATCCCAACATTGCCATCGCCGAATGCAAAGACAGCCAGCCCTGCAGTCCCCTGTGCTTTGCGGCGTACACCAACTTCGAGCATGTGCAGATTGCGGAGACGCTCGTCGCAGCCCAGGCCAATGTCGACGGCAAACACTTCGCCATCAGCCCTCTGCTGGCAGCATGCGAAAGTCGAAACACGAGAATGGCCACCTTCCTCATCCGAGCCCGGGCAGACGTGGATCGACAATCGTGGACCATGGAATCCCCACTGCTTGTTGCAGTGTCAATGAATTCGGCACCGCTAGTACGCCTACTCCTTCGACATCGTGCAAGCATCAATCAACAGGATCGCTACCAGCGCGGTCCCATGGAGCGCGCCTTTGAGCACAGGGCACCACGAGCAGCAACATGCCTCCTACGTGCAAACGCGAAGGTGCACGCCTACGCGGGCGCCAACAGCCTGCTCCACCAAGCCGCAAGGAGGGGCAGCACCACGTGGGTCAAACTGCTCGCCAGAGCGGGTTTGGCGCTTCGAAGCCAGGACGAACGAGGATGCCTACCAGTAGAAGTACGGCAGCGTTTGCCCACCTTCCAACAACGCTACCGGCTAAAGCGAAGCCTCTGCATCACGGCAACAGCCGATGGCGCCACTGCAGCAGCGAGTCGGCGCGGAGCCGCATGCGACTAAGACAAAAGCCGTCGTCATGCACGGCATCCTGCGTGTACAGCGCCCGCCAACCAAAGCCGGAACTTACAAAAAGAAGCGAAGCCAGCCCGCCTCAAACCGGCCGACCTCTCACAAGACAAGCAACAAGAAGCAGCCTCAAGCCTCAGATTACATGCCCCCGCCAAAAGAGCCCTTCCTATAGCGCACCACTGCCAGACTCCTGCTCGAACAACCCATCCTACACGGCAGATCCCACCGTGAGGTCCGTCAGCGAGCCAGACCCTTCAGACTCCAGCAGCAGAAAACACAAAGCAAAAACACAGTTCACGCCTTCCGCCCCTGCAGGTGCAGACGTCATACAGCCCCCGAGCCACCGACGATAGGTCGACATGACAAACGACGACAGACAGGCGAGATCGCACACAAAACTCCAGACACGACACCGTCGCTCCAAGCACATGACACCAAAACACCAGGCAACCGGCTGGGAGATCGAGACCGCCAGCTAGAACTACCTGGCCACGAGGTGCCGCCTGACACTTGTGACGCCGGCACCCGAGCCAGCGCCCAAGACCCACAACACCGCAAGCACATGCATACACAGCTCACAGCCAATCACAAAGGCCCCTGCAGCCGAGGAAGCTGGCTGTGTTTGTACGCATGCATTTTATGTAGGAAACCCAACTAGAAAAGCTTTCCAGGAGCTGGCAATCCTTATCCACGTCCATTTAATGAAGACAACCCACCTGAACCGGGCCTTCCGGGAGCTGGCAATCCTTGTCCACGTGCATTTCATGAACGAACACCACCTGGAGAAGCCTTCCGAGACCAGGCAGCTCCTATCCATGTGCATTTTCTGAAGGAGAACCACTAGACAAGTCTGCCGGAAGCTGGCAGTCGTTGTCCTCGCGCAGCTTATGGAGAGAGAACCACCTGGAGAAAGCTGCCAAGAGCTAGCAGTCCTTATCCACGTGCATTTTATAAAGGAAACCACGTGGAGAAGCCTTCCGGGAGCTCGCAGTCCATATTTACATTCATTTTATGAAAGAAAACCACCTACAGAAGCCTTCCGCGAGCTGACGAACCTTATTCACGTGCATTTCATGAAGGAAAGGAAGCACCTGAAGAAGCCTCCCAACAGCTAGCTGTCTTTATCCACCTACATTCTATAAAAGAAAACCACGTGGAGAAGCCTTCCGGCAGCTGGCAGTCCTTATCCACGTGCATTTCATAAAGGACAACCACTTGAAAAAGCCTTCCAAAAGCTAGCAGTCCTTATCCAGGTGCAGCTTATGAAGGAAAACCGCCTGGAGAGGCTTTTCGGGAGCTGGACATCCTTATCCACGTGCATTTCTGTTGGAAACCCACCTGCAGAGGCAGTTCGCGAGCTGGAGATCCTTATCCACGTGCATTTCATGAGGAAAAACCACCTGGAGGGGCAGTTCGCGAGCTGAATATCCTTATCCACGTGCATTTTATGAAGGACAACCAGCTGGAGAGGCTTTTCGCGAGCTCGAAATTGAAGGAAGACCACCTGAAGAAGCTTTTCACGAGCTGGAAATCTTGATCCACGTGCACTTTATGAAGGCAAACCACCTGGAGATGCTTTTTGCGAGCCGGAAATCCTTATCCACATGCATTCTATGAGGGAAAACCACCTGGAATCCTTGTCCACGTGCATTTTATGAAGGAGAACCACCTGGAATCCCTATTCACTTGCATTTTATGAAGGAAAGCCACTTGGAATCCTTATCCACGTGCACTTTATGAAGGAAAACCACCTGGAATCCTTATCCACGTGCATTTTATGAAGGAAAACCACCTGGAATCCTTATCCACGTGCACTTTATGAAGGAACACCACATGATCCTTATCCACGTGCATTTTATGAAGGAAAACCACCTGGAACCCTTATTCACGTGCATTTTATAAAGGAAAACCACCTGGAATCCCTATCCACATGCATTTTATGAAGGAAAACCACCTGGAATCCTTATCCACGTGCATTTTATGAAGGAGAACCACATGGAATCCTTATTCACGTGCATTTTATGAAGGAAAACCACCTGGAATCCTTATCCACGTGCATTTTATGAAACAAAACCACCTGGAATCCTTATCCACGTGCATTTTATGAAGGAGAACCACCTGGAATCCTTACCCACGTGCATTTTATGAAGGAAAACCACCTGGAATCCTTATCCACGTGTATTTTATGAAGGAAAACCACCTGGAATCCTTATCCAGGTGCAGTTTATCAAGGAAAACCACCTGGAATCCTTATCCACGTGCATTTTACCAAGAAAAACAACCTGGAATCCTTATCCACGTGCATTTTATGAAGGAAAACCACCTGGAATCCTTATCCACGTGCATTTTATGAAGGAAAACGACCTGGAATCATTATCCACGTGCATTTTATGAAGGAGAACCACTTGGAATTCTTATCCACGTGCATTTTATGAAGGAAATCTACCTGGAATCCTTATCCACGTGCATTTTATGAAGGAAAACCACCTGGAATCCTTATCCACGTGCATTTTATGAAAGGAAAACCACCTGGAATTCGTATCCACGTGCATTTTATGAAGGAAAACCACCTGGAATCCATATCCACGTGCATTTTTTGAAGCAAAACCAGCTGGAAATCCTTATCCACGTGCATGTCATGCGGGAAAACCACCTGGAGGGGCAGTTCGCGAGCTGGATATCCTTATCCACGTGCATTTTATGAAAGACAACCACCTGGAGAGGCTTTTCGCGAGCTGGACATTGAAGGAAAACTACCTGAAGAAGCTTTTCACGAGCTGGAAATCTTGATCCACGTGCACTTTATGAAGGCAAACCACCTGGAAATGCTTTTCGCGAGCCGGAAATCCTTATCCACATGCATTTTATGAAGGAAAACCACCTGGAATCCTTGTCCACATGCATTTTATGAAGGAGAACCACCTGGAATCCTTATCCACGTGCATTTTATGAAGGAAAACCACCTGAAATCCTTATTCACGTGCATTTTATGAAGGAAAACCACCTGGAATCCTTATCCACGTGCATTTTATGAAGGAAAACCACCTGGAATTCGTATCCACGTGCATTTTATGAAGGAAACCCACCTGGAATCCTTATTCACATGCATTTTATGACAGAAAACCACCTGGAATCCTTATCCACGTGCATTTTATGTAGGAGAACCACCTGGAATCCTTATCCACGTGCATTTTATGAAGGAAAACCACCTGGAATCCTTGTCCACGTGCATTTTATGAAGGAGAACCACCTGGAATCCTTATCCACGTGCATTTTATGAAGGACAACCACCTGAAATCCTTATTCACGTGCATTTTATGAAGGAAAACCACCTGGAATCCTTATCCACGTGCATTTTATGAAGGAAAACCACCTGGAATTCGTATCCACGTGCATTTTATGAAGGAAACCCACCTGGAATCCTTATTCACATGCATTTTATGACAGATAACCAACTGGAATCCTTATCCACGTGCATTTTATGTAGGAGAACCACCTGGAATCCTTATCCACGTGCATTTTATGAAGGAAAACCACTTGGAAATTTTATCCACGTGCATTTTATGAAGGAAAACCACCTGGAATCCTTATCCACGTGCATTTTATGAAGGAAAACCACCTGGAATCCTTATCCACGTGCATTTTATGAAGGAAAGCCACCTGGAACCCTTATCCACGTGCATTTTATGAAGGAAAGCCACCTGGAATCCATATCCACGTGCATTTTTTGAAGCAAAACCAGCTGGAAATCCTCATCCACGTGCATTTTATGAGGGAAAACACCTGAAGGGGCGGTTCGCGAGCTGGATATCCTTATCCACGTGCATTTTATGAAGGACAACCAGCTGGAGAGGCTTTTCGCGAGCTGGAAATTGAAGGAAAACCACCTGAAGAAGTTTTTCACGAGCTGGAAATCTGGATCCACGTGCACTTTATGAAGGCAAACCACCTGGAGCTGCTTTTCGCGAACCGGAAATCCTTTCCACGTGCATTTTGTGAAGGACAACCACCTGGAATCCTTGTCCACATGCATTTTATGTAGGAGAACCACCTGGAATCCTTATCCACGTGCATTTTATGAAGGAAACCACTTGGAAATTTTATCCACGTGCATTTTATCAAGGAAAACCACCTGGAATCCTTATCCACGTGCATTTTATGAAGGAAAACCACCTGGAATCCTTATCCACGTGCATTTTATAAAAAAAACCACCTGGAACCCTTATCCACGTGCATTTTCTGAAGGAAAGCCACCTGGAATCCCTATCCACGTGCATTTTATGAAAGAAACCCACCTGGAATTTTTATTCACGTGAACGAAAACCACCTGGAATCCTTATCCACGTGCATTTTATGAAGGAAAACCACCTGGAATCCTTATCCACGTGCATTTTATGAAGGAGAACCACTTGGAATCCTATTCATGTTCATTTTATAAAGGAAAACCACCTGGAATCCCTATCCACGTGCATTTTTATGAAGGAAAACCACCCGGAATCCTTCTCCACGCGCATTTTATGAACGAAAACCACCTGGAATCCTTATCCACATGCATTTTATGAAGGAGCACCACCTAGCATCCTTATCCACGCACATTTTATGACGGAAAACCACCTGGAATCCTTATCCACGTGCACTTTATGAAGGAAAACCACCTGGAATCCTAATCCACGTGCATTTTATGAAAGAAAACCACCTGGAATCCTTATCCACGTGCATTTTATGAAAGAAAACCACATGATCCTTATCCACGTGCATTTTATGAAGGCAAACCACGGTCCTTATCCTAATGCATTTCGCGAAGGAGAGCCACCTGCAGAAGCTTTCCGAGAGCCCCCGATCCCTATCCTAGTCCAACCCATGAAAGAAAACCACCTAATTCAATTTTCCGGGAGCTAGCAAGCCCAGCGCTGGTGCATTAATGAACATGAGCCACCTGGACATGCCTTCCGAAAGCTCGCAATCCTCGTCCTGAAGAAAACCTACCCGAA